ACATACAAAAAAAACCCTCCATGGCAAAAGGGGGGGGGGGAGGGAAACAGCATACCAAGGAGATAAATTCTGTCCCAGCTTACCTCTTGTTTTTATGGGTTTTTATAAAAGGGAGCATTGAGAAAATAATTGATCCTATAGCTGCAGCCTTGAGAGGTGGTACAAGTCCGTTCCACCACCCCACCATACTTAATGACAGAACAGGCCCAAAGTACACTGCATGAGCGGGTAAAATCCTAGACTGTACCTGCTTTAGACTCTGTGTGTGTGTGATGCTGTTGAATGCTCTCTCCTCATAGCACCTCCCCTTGCATTTAGTAAATTAGCACAGCGGGGAGGGGGCTATGGGAAACCTCCCCCCCATGAGCTATTTTTCTAATTGAAGGTGTTTTAAATATTTTTGTGGAAGCATTCAAAGAACCAACTTGCAGCCTCGAGACGGTTCTGTACAGAGGTCTGCTGATCATTGTGTGTAACTTGGAGATGGGTGCTGAGCCAGGGATGAGTGCCGGCAATAGCCTTTGGTCCTCTCGGCACCACTTGCACCCCTGCCCCGAGGCATTAACGAACTGTGTTAATTGCTTTGCTCGGGTTGCCCTTAGAGAGCCTAATGCATTTTGCAGACCAGCACGGTTTTTCTTTTTAAATCTACCTCTTCCTGCCCCTGCTGAGAACGGATGAGTCTATCAGTCTATATTTACTTAACGTACAGCCTCACACACACTACCGTTTGTAATCAGGAGAAACCAGGGGTCATTTCGTAGAAAAAGAGGTGCAGGAGCTCATTAGCATAACTTATTAGCATAACTTATTTGCATATGCCACACACCCTGACATCACCGGAAGTGTGTCAGAAGGCAACACCCACCACTCAGGCTCCACTGGACTGTTTTGGATTGCTAGCTATTGGGGGGGGGGGACACGTGCAGATCTGTCCTCACAGAGGAGGGAGAGCTTGTACCTTAAGGCGGGCCGGCGGGGCCCTCTGCAACTTGCCTGGCTGCTTCTTGCTCCTCGTGGCCCAACTGAGGGCTGCTGGGAGCAGGGGGCAGGGCTTGTTGCATGTGCCCGCCCCCTGGGCTCCTTACTGCTGGAGCTCCGCTCCTGTGAGCTCCTGCAGGAAATGACCCCTGGGAGAAACCACCACAAGGGAATGTTTCCCACTGCTGTTTCGGCGTGGTGAAGTTCCCCCTTTGTGGATATGAGATTTCCTCTTGGGAAAATTACTTTAGGAAGCTACGGTTGTGCAAGAAACGCTCACAGCGATCTCAGCACACGGGGTCATCTTGATGTGACCACTTTGTCCAAGACGCACACAAACAAAATCACAGAGATGAATCCGTAACTTCCATGCTGGAAAGAAAACCCTCCCCAGTAACACTCCTCTGTGCCCCCGGATAGCCCAGTCTAGCCAGATCTCATCAGGTCTTGGAAGGTAAGCAAAGTCAGCCCTGGTCAGTACTTGGAAGGGAGACCTCTAAGGAAGTCCAGGGTCGTGATGTGGAGCCAGGCAATGGCCAACCACCTCTGAATGTCTCTTGCCTTGAAAATTCTACAGGGTCATCATCAGTCAGCTGCGACTTGACAGCAAAACCACCCCCCCCCCAAACCACTCCTCTGCTGTGCGGGGTTTGCTCCTGGCTTTCTTCTCGGACAAGAGTGTCTCTTCCCTGACAGACAGAGCACGCATGCCAGCCATGGCTATGACTTCCCTCATTGCCCACAACTTGTTTCTCACTGAATTGGCCAGAATACTGCCTGCTCACCTGTGTCTCTGGATCAACCAGAAGAGCTGTAGATTAAAAAAAAAAAAAAGAATCTGGAAATATGTGCCAGCTAACAGGAGGCATGCCCTGAACCTGGGTAAAAAGCAGATAATCCTGACATATAGCAACTATGGCAGACAGAAACGGAGCCATGAAGGACAGCCAGAATCCAGAAGCCTGACCTACTGCTTGCCAACTGCTGGGTTTCTGTAGCACACCACTACTTCCCCTTTGACCCTAAGCACACTCACTTTTGGCAGGTCTCTAGCCCGTGCTCTCAGCCTTCACACCATAAGGTCCCCGGTTCGAACCTTGGAGACCCCCGCCAAAAATTTACATCCAAATGAGTTCTCCATGTCACCCCCATTAACCTGTACTTCTAATTATCTGGATGCTTGCGGCTTCCTTCCGAGGCTTTTCAAGCCACCGGGGTCGTGCTGAATTTCAGGGTGGGTTTTTTTTTCACTGGGAAATTCAGGGATTGATTCTCCACAGCTGGAAGCATCTCCTGCCGCTGAAGGTGAGGACCTTACAACGGAGATAATGGAAACGCGGACCGGCAGCAGATTGAAACGATTTCCAGCCTGCGCTTTCTGCAGCCGGCCCTCGCCACTCAAGAGCGTGGCAGCTGCTCAAGCCATACAGCGGAGGGCTCTGTAACAGCTCCGTTCCATTAAGCTAATCGAAACCATTCAATCAATGACCCCGGCGCTCCCCCCACCTCCTGCTCAGCTGCGCTCACGCCGGAGCCTTTGGGACAAAGTGCCGATCGTTTCTGCTGCAAGTGCTTTGAAAACTCTTGGCGCAAGTGGACTTTTAAAGGGTTTGGGGGTAGGATGTTTCTGAGAAATGTGCATATTCCTTTGGGAAGGCACTTTTCGGCTTTACATCCAGTTCCAATGCCACTAGCACTGGGGAACTTTACCGGGGCCAGCCTACTGAACGGCCTGCTAAACCCACCCCCTTTCTGCAAGATACAGACTATAATCCACAGTTCTTGGGACAACCCCATCTACTTTGTTGGTAAATCCATTCTGCTCTGTCTAATGCAAGAATTAAAAAACGGCAGAATCTTCTTAGGTTTTGCGGAGACCTCTCCCAATCCCATGGCTTGGTGGAACGAGAGAAACAACCAACTAAGGTGGCCCACCCCTTGCCATAAACACCAGTGGTGCAGCTTTCTCTTCTCTTAGGAGGAAAAAGGAACCTTCAAGGATGATTTGCGTGGTATGTTAAGGATCCGTGCCTGAATCTCATGTTTAGTAAATGTTTACTGTTTAATGGTGAAGAAGCAGCCACTGTGGGGAGGGAGGGAGGGAGGGAGGCCACAGCATCGGGACTGGAGAAGCTTAACCCCTGCCATGCCAGGCCCCTGATAAAACCCCGCCTCTGCTCAAAGCTGCTATCACCACAGCCCCCAGAGAGAAAAGAAAGACAGACCCGTATGAGTCTTTCCCCCCTGCTTGGGCTAATAGTCACTCAGAGGGCAATCTTCTACGGGAAAACAGAATGCAGGAAAATAATCCCATGCTCCAGTCTGGCTGGTTCCATGTCGTGGATCTGTTCCACTAAACCGTGCCATCTTCAGTGACGCAAGGAGCTCTTCTGCTAGCAGAAAGACAGGTTGCTTACCTGTAACTGGTGATCTTTGAGTGGTCATCTGTGCATTCACACGAAGGGTGTGACGCACAGAGACCACGAAGAAGACAGACAGGTTGCTTACCTGTAACTGGTGATCTTTGAGTGGTCATCTGTGCATTCACACGAAGGGTGTGACGCACAGAGACCACGAAGAAGATCAGCCTGTTGTATCAGGGGAAGGTGCTTCCCACTAGTGAACAGATCTGATCACAGATTCCCCACCATAATTTGAAGTGTGGTTCTTAGCAAGGAGGAGGCTTATCCTTCAAAGGCCCCTTTATGTGAGTTTCCACCTGTGCACCTATGATGCTTACGGGCAGGCCTGTGTTTATGCTGCAGTACTGTGGGAGTGCAGAAAATGATCAATCAGTATTCCAGGGAACCAGACCTTTCATTAAAAAGAGGCCTTCTGACTCTAAAGATATGCTTCAAAGTGGGGCGGGGGGGGGGGGGGGGAGGCGTGTGTAATTCCAGACGCCAGACGAATGAATCAGTAAGGTCTCCTCCACTGGTTAGGTGCAGCCCCCCCCCCCCATAGTGGAACGTGCTGAACAAAGTTATAGTAAGTGAAAGAAATGAGTCAAAATGTATGCTAACTGCATAATTTCTGCTGGTCACAAACCAGAGCTTTTTCATGGTGAAGGATCTGGATTGCCTGGGCACCGAACTGTAATTGCTGTCAACACAAAGGTTTGCTTATGGACTTCTTTGGAATGTGGCACCACAGCTGCTTACCAGTCAAGGCAGCTGTGGCCACGTTGAGCTTGTCCTGCAACTTTATTCCCCTTCCTGGCTTCTTGTGGTGTACCAGACAAGTTAGGAAATCAGGTCGTCAGCTGCAGGTTGGGAAATACCAAGAGATTTTGGGGGTGGAGCCTGAGGAGGGCGGGGTTTGGGGAGGGACTTCAATGGGGTGTAATTGCCACAGAGTCCACCTTCCAAAGCTGCCATTTTCTCCAGGTGATCTCTGTCACCTGGAGATCAGCTGTAATCCCAGGAGATCTCCAGCTCGTGCCCGGAGCTGACAACCCTAGGGAAAACACTGGTGGGTTTTAAGACGCCCCAATGGTGTGGCTGTACTGTAAAGTCGCTGTCCTGGAGAGCTACCTCTGGCACCTGGTCATCGAGGCCAGACCAAAGAGGACCAGGAGAACAAGCCTAAAGGCTAACTAATCCATGACCTGCAAGGGCATAGCATGATGCGCCCGTAATTTTTTTTCTGATGTCCCCACAATTAGATAGCTTGTTTATTTTTCTGACTAATGTAACTGCTTGTAAGAAAAGCATCACAGGGCGTGTTGCAGGAAGCGTGGGGAACCTGCTGACCACAGTTTTGTTTACGAAGCCATGTGACTCTGACCAGTGTTCCCTCTAAGCTGAGCTGGTGTGGGCTAGCTCACAGTTTTTTAGCCTCCGGCTCACACAATTTTGTCCTAGCTCGGGAAGGATGGCTCCAGAGCAAACTAATTTATGCAGTCGCCAAATTGCTGGCTCACAACTTTAATGCCAGTAGCTCACAAAGTAGAATTTTTGCTCACAGGACTCCACAGCTTAGAGGGAGCATTGACTCCGACTCACTGCCCGCTTAAATTAGGGGGAAAAAAAGAAGGACGGGCCTCAAGTGACTGCCAAGGAACTGGGCTGAGACAGATACAGACAAACACGAGACCCCCAAAGAAGGGGACCCCGATCCCCTCGGCGGGCTAGAGATTTAACAAAACAGAGGGCAAAAAGGAAAATTGAAACGTAGTTCCACACCTAATGCAAGGTTTGGGGTACATTTCTTGCCTCTTCTGCTGCGTTTTAGGCTTGTCAGCCACGCTGTAGAGAAACAAAAATCATGGAGGGGGGAAAAAAGATTTATGTAAAAAGTGACATCAGAACACGAGTCAATAAAAGTACTTTTAGAAGGTTCCTCCTGGAGCCCAGGAGGAGACAGAATCAGGGACCCTGGTTTTCTGCACACTCTGAACGCGCTGAGGAATGCAGCTTCTGGGGTTAAATCCAGAGAAGCCAACAGATTGTGCTTTGATTTTTTTAAATTAAAAAATAGATTTCTAGCCCTCGTGGGGCCTGGGGAAAAACTTGAAAAAGCAAAGGTGGCATCTGCTAAAAGTTTGAGACTAAAAGAGGGGTCTGTCTGGGTGGGGAGAAACAGACTATTTGACAGCTCCCTGTCCCTACCTGTGGTCCCCGAATGCACCCCGAGTCCTCAGTCCCCCATAACCCTTTTTTTTTAGCTACGCTAGCTTACAATTTGGAGTACCTAGTCTAGTGCCGGCAGCACTGTCTTAAATCGCTTACACACACCCCCTTGACATTTAAGTGAGTTTACATCCACCAAGTCAATTCAGTATTTGCATAACGCAAAATCTGAGTGGATTTATTCTGCACACTTTGCTGCTTTTGGCTTTCCTGGTTGCAGAATGACCGTCAGTAAACCAGTGTCCCTGCATATAGCATGCAACGACAACGCATACGAAGACCTACGAGTCCTAGCGGGCACCCCTCTCTTGGCTATGCGAGACCCAACAGAGAGGCAGGAGGGGGAGATCCACCCGTGTATCATATGGAGTTCCATCACCGTTGGTGGCTCAAAGTTACACTTTCCAGCAGGGTCTGGAGGGCAGTCCTAAAGTTTTCAACTGCACGGGAAATGGAGCAAATAGTACTCTTCAGTGCAAAAGGGTCGCTGTCCCGTGTTCTGCAGCTGACTACGTGTAGGGAAATGATTCTAGGAGCTGAAAGGCAGAAGTCTTTTACCTGTTTAAAAGGCGGGAGGCAAGCTTTTGAAATGGCTGCACTAGCCAAGAGGAATCCTGAAGGTAATGAAAAGCTTTGTGGTGACTAGGGCTCCTAGCCCCCCTCCTCTGTGGAGGCGGGGGCGCCCTGCTCCCTACCACTGACCAACTGGCTGGCTTGGGGGGGGGGGAATGGGGGACGACTTACCAGGAGAAAGAAGAAGGCCCAGGTGGTGTTGCCAGCAACACGGCAATGTCAATTCTGGTGCACACAGGAAATGACAACATCATGATGCTGGCGACATCTGGGTGACACTCTAGTGTTTAGGCAAAAACTCTATGGTAGAAGCCATTTTTACTATAGAGTTTTTGCCCAAACACCAGAGCATCATCCGGGCATCGCAAGTGAGATGTCATCAATTCCAGTGTTGCACCGGAAGTTACACTGCCATGTCATCGGTGATGTCACCTGGCCCCTTCCCCCCCCCCGATTAGCCCCCCCCCCCGGGCTACCAGGAAGGACCTGGCAACCCTAGTGGTGACTGACGAATGAGCTGCCAATACAGGGAAGGGATACTAAACTGACAGCCCTGTTTTCTTTACGCCCCAACTGCATATTTTTTCAAGGTAGTGTCCCTGGACCCAGTTTACACCTGGGTTTATCACTGTTAGAATGACTATGCTGTGCTATCAGAGTTCTTAGACAGTTTTGCTAAGTTGGTACAGAAAGTCTGCAGCATGGGTATGCATGTCTGTTGATACCAAATTAAAAAAAAGAAGCCCGGCAGCACATTAAAAGACTCCTTGAAGGTGTGATGCACACGATTAACATCATGAGCATCCACAAGACAGAACTCGTTTCATTCGATGCACAGAGTGACTCACGAAAACTCAGGCTGGAATAAGGCTCGTTTATTCGTTAAGGTGCCACTGGTCTCCTATTTTCATTTTGCTGCAACGGACCAACGTGGCTACCCCTCTGGATCATATGCCAAATATGTCTATCTGTCCATTCCCATAATCTCATATATAATCAATAGCGCTGGTATTATTGTGGGGATAATATGTGGAAAACAACACTGACCCCTTCTAAATGTCTGCAGAGAAGCGAACTGGGGAAATCATGTATTCAAGTTATTTAATGTAATATTTTCAACTTCTCAATACTGCTCCCTGCCTGGCCATAAAAAAAAAAGAATTGTTCAAAAAATTATTACATGATTTTACAAACTTTCCAGTCATTTCCATCATCTTGACCTCACTGGTACTACCCGTATGAATGGCTGCCAGTAAAGTGAGTGGCTTCTGTTTCTTTTTGCCCCCAGTTGGCTGCAAACCTACAACCCAGCCCCAGTAAATTGGTAACATATCTCTCTTGGCTCGGGAAGTCAAAGCGGGGTAAAGACTTCAATGCAAGTCCCTCGATGATTCTGCACTATGGCTGGATTTCAAGCCAATCTGGCAAAGTCTGGATGACCAAATCGGGGGGTTAACAGGGCACTGAGTGGGCACTGGCATGGCAGCAAACATGCAAATCTGTGCTAATTAGGCTCACAGAGGCTGCTCTGGGTAGTACTCATGTGATCCCAGCAACCACCCAAGATTCAGTCTCCCTAACACATTACTAACAATACGGAACCTAGTCCCGAGGAAGCGCCACACAGGCTATACGATTTACTCGCAGATAGGCACTCGCAGAAAGGCACTGCCCGTGTGGTTTGGACATCTGCCTGGAGCTGATACCAATAATTAGGCCTCTGTTAACGTGCCACACAGTGGGCCACTTCTGACAGCACAATCCAATGCCCTCAAAAGGAACCTGTGGATATACTTGGACTCTGCGATATGAACCTGTGTACCAGTTAAATCATCTCCCGACTGTGCCCCACCACCAGTGAAGCTCACTTGGCAAGGGATGCCAGCCTCCAGGTGGGACCTGGAGATCCCCTGGGATTACAGATCATCTCCTACCTACAGTGATCAGTTCCTCTGAAGAAAATGGATGCTTTGGAGGGTGGACTCTATGGCACTGTACCCCACTTTAGTCCCTCTCCTCCCCAGGCTTTACTTGCCAGTCTCCAGGAGTTTCCCAACCTGGAGCTGGCGACCTACCCCCCCCCCCCCCCCCCCCCAGGTCACCAGGGGGGGCCTGGCAAGCCCACACTCGGGCTCCGTAGAATCCCGAGATTTCTGTGTGGCAGTCTGAGTCAACAGAACTGACTGTCCGAGAAGGCTTGTGACACTCCATCCCTGGTGGCTAAGATTGTGCTGGCAGAGTTGAATGGGCGGTATTTGTACTGAAAATGTCAGCTCTGGCCAAGTCTGGGACATTTACATGTACTGGTTTAATTGATGGCTATTTCATAAGGTGTCCCGGCTTATTCTTCGAAAGAAAGGTAGGATATACTTCTCCTTTCAACAGAGCAGAGGAATGAGAGGACCTCGTGGACACGACTCACTTTCTACCCACCTAGAGCCATGCCACCATTCTGGGCACTGATTTTTCCAATCTTCCCTTTGTCAGTAAATCTGTCTTCTTAACCCCCCCCCTTCCTTTTCCCAGGGAGCAGCAACACAAGGGCCTTTGGCAGCTGCGCCATCTCAGACCTCGTCTAAACCACCGATCTCTGCATTGTTGGATTTGCCTCCTTGGCCAATACAACAACAGCAACAATCATTATTGCTATTAGAGCACTGCACTCTGCAGACCAGGTGGTCCCTGGCCCGAGAGATATCTGGCTGTCCTCGACCATAGCCAGGCTGTTTTCTGCCCCGGCTCCAACCTGGTGGAACTTTCTGCCGAATGACATCCATGCCCAGCAGGACTTATTGTCGTTCCGCAGGGCTCGTAAGGCAGAGACGTTTTGCCAGGCATTCGGCTAAGGGCAGTGACAGTTACCATCCGTCTGGCACTCCTGTTTCTCTGGCATCCCCCACCCCTGTTGAGCAGTAGCACAGTCAGAAGTTTAGCACCATCTACCTAGGAAATTGCTGTATTTTATTGTATTCCAACTGTGAAGTTTCCTTATGAATGTCTTTGTTGTTGTACACAGCCCGGAGCCCTGTTCTTTAACTATGAACTACCCCCACTTTTAAATCTGTGTCTTTCCTAACTTCTCATTTTATAAAAAGACACCGCTTGGACCGTAAATGCGATGACGGTGTTAGTATGAGCTGTCAGGTTTCAGCCCGATCCAGTTTGGGACTCATGACCCACCAGTTTGATTTAATACACTTTTTTTTTTTTTTTAAGAAAAGGAGGGCTTGAGTAATTATGGATTCTTGATTTGTTTCTGTGCCACCTTGGGAGGGGTGATGCTGACGACAAACTACTTCTTGGCACCAATGTTCCCTCTAAGCTGTGGAGTCTCGTGAGCAAAAATTCTACTTTGTGAGCGGCTGGCATTAAAGCTGTGAGCGAGCGAGTTGGCCACGGCATAAATTAGTTTGCTCTGGAGCCGTCTTTCCTGAGCTGAGATTAAAATGTGTGAGCCGGAGGCTAAAAAACTGTGAGCTAGCTCACACTAACTCAGCTTAGAGGGAACATTGCTTGGCACCATTTTTAATTTAAAATTTAATTACTGGGAGAAGGGCACTCTGACACGATATCCTGCCTGACAACTGAGTGCTTCTGCAGAGGCCCTTCTCTGAGAGCCCCCCACTTTCAGAGCTGAAGTGGGCCACTGCCAGAGACGGGGGCCTTGTGTGTCCCTCCCCCACAGCTACCTGCCTGCCCAGTGTTTTTTTTTTAACGTTTTGGTGCCAGTCATGGTTTTTGTTTTGTTGAGGGTTCCCCCCCCCCTTTTAAAATGTGGTTTTGTTCTATGCTGATTTGAGCAACTGACCTGTTTTTACTGTTTTTGGTTTGATGGGTTGTTACTGACTGAACTGTTTACAGCCGTTGGTTTTATGTGGAGGCTGCTTTGGAGGCCTTCAGCTATCTAGCTATATAGTTAAATAAACAGATGAAACCAGTTATCAGATTAAGAACATAGAGACGTGTGGAATTTCTACAACCTGGTTCAGTGAGCAAATCCTGTTAATTACCTACATGTTAAGTCTCCTTCAACTAGGTTCCTTAGATGGTTTCCAAGATCACTTTTGTCCACAAACATGCTGAAGACTGCCTAATGCTGCAACCTATTTTGGAGTAAGCCCCACTGGAACCACCAGGATTTACGTTTGAGTAAACAAGAAGATGCTCAGACTGTTAAGCATGTTCCTGTTCCCAATATATTGGGGGGGGGGGGGAACAATTGTAAAAGCAGTCAGAAACAGTGAAAAGCAGTTTACCGAGATTGTTGTCCGTGAGCACCTCTTTAACCCTCTTGGTGATGCCGTAAGTGTCCAGTTCTGGTGACATGGCGACCAGTGCCTGTATGCTGAGTGATGAATGTCCGGAGACGGGCAATGGCGTGGTGGATTGGGAATCGGAAGCTGACGGCTCACTTGACTCTTGCAGCTTGCCATCCTTATTCGTCTCTATGGGGGGACATGGTTGCTGGACCAGCTCCGTCAGGCTTTTCACAGATTCACTGGAACTCATAGGGGATTCTGGAGCAGGGCTGCAACTGGCCGAAGTCTTTGGGGTGCTTTCTGCAAATCAGCAGGGAAGGGGAGGAGGGAAGGTGAGATAGGTTTTAAGCAAAATTCTTCTTCACCAAAGCTTTTCTTCTAGATTCATTCTTTACTTTACAAGACAGTGAGTCATACCATTTGCCCAGCACTACTTGTGTCTTTCCCAGCCCAGCTATACCAGATGCTCTAGCTGGAGATAACAATGATGAAATCGACATACATGCAAAATATGAACTGTGTTCCTTCCTATAACTCCCAGAGATGGATGGACTGGAGCTTCCTTTCCCCCAACTTTGAAGCATCTTCTCAAGCACAACAGTGGACCACCCAACGGAGACATAAATGCAGGGACTAAACCCTGCAACAGATTGAGTTGCCTGCATATGCTGAGGCAGTACTATTATGGGACCTAATAACATTAGCTGCACCATCTTGGGCTCATCCACTTGAACACCATCTAATTTAATATATTCCATCATGTGCCAGCAATACTCTTGGAATCATAGAGTTGGAAGGGATCTCCAGGGTCATCTAATCCAACCCCCTGTACGATGCAGGAAATTCACAAGTACCCCCCCCCCCCACACACATACTCTTCTACTATCTATATTGGACAAACTCATTGGTAGCTATGTGAGAGAATAATGCATACAAATCTGGCATGGAAATGACAATGTTCAAAAACCAGCTGGGGAACATTTTATTCTTCTTGGACGTACTGTCGCTGATATGAAAGTCACTGCTCTACAAAAAACTTCAAAGGGAATATACAATATGAAAGTGCTGAAATTAGAACTCATCAAGAAACTAAAAACTACCTCTCATCCTGGCTTTAACAGAGACTTGGGTCTCCTTACTCACTACAAGTTCTAATAGCTCAAAAAGGCCCACTTTTTAGACTCTTTAATGGGCTCTTATTAACAGACTACAACTCTTCAGGGGTAGCCAATAATTATCTTATACTTCAGACTATTTCTTCCTCAATTAGTTATAATTTTCATACTTAATTACACTATTTGTTTACCTGTACCACATGAGAGAGAGGCTGGAACTTCTGACCATTCTCATCATCCATTATGTAACAACATAATCTATTCCAGTCCCTTACACAAAGAATCACACCCAAAAGATTAATGATGGCATCCACACCAAGCCCCTCTTGATTCCCTACACCTTCCTTCTCTCCACTCTATAATTTTCTCTATAAAAATGTGGAATCAGATGTCCTCTTCTTAGTACCTGAAGAAGTGAGCTCTGCGTCATGAAAGGACATACTGGAATAAATGTCGTCAGTCTTTAAGTTACTACTGGACTACGTTTTCTTGTTGCTACAGTAGACTATAACACAGCTACCGCTCAGGAAACTTCCTGAGCTGCCATTTACACCAAACCTCATGGGAGCAGCCTATTACATCATAAGTAAACTGCTCCCTTCTCTCCAAACTGACAGTGGCTAAGGGGCCCAAGCCCTGTTTCAAAGGGTTGAACACAGCAACTCCCTGGAAGGATTGTCCATTGCAACAATCTCGGTGCCATTTTCGCATTGTCAGCAAGAGATCGTATACAATGTGCCAGCAAAAATTAAAAACTAAAAACCAGACCACTGCTCTGGTCTAAGACTATGCAGGGCACTAGTCGGGGGGGAGCTCTCAGGTACGGAGCTCCGGAAGAGAACCTCTAGGGGGCGGGGCGGTCACGTGGTGAATCCCCGCCCCCTTCTTTACCCCGCCCTCTGCTTCGATCCTCATTCCGTTTGGGAATGAGGATGAAGCAGGAGGGTAAGTAGCCGGGCCTTCTGACACACTTCCGGTGATGTCAGGGGGTGTGGCCTTCTGTCACTTCCGGGGGCGTGGCATATGCAAATAAGTTATGCTAATGAGTTATGCTAATGAGCTCCGGCAGCTCTTTTTCTACAACAAGACCCCTGAGACTATGTATCATCTACATGCTATCAGATGAGTTTGAAAAGATAAATATAATTTTTAAAGAATTCTCACAAAGTACCTGTCAATTCCAATCCTTTATAGAATGGCACTTTAGAAGATACGCAGATCTGCTGCTGAAAACAGCAGCTGCAAAGTTCTTCCCTTTTTGTTATTATGATGAGTACTAGGAGTAAGACCCGTTGTGGGAAGAAATACGACGAGTTCTAGAAGGAAGCTCCAGGTGAGTGTCCTGGCTGTGGCTGGTGGGAAGGGGAAAATAGAGGGAGGCAAGCCATGTTTATTTCCTCCTGCTTAGCTATAAGGCAGGGCTGTCATTTTGCTGCCCGAAGTGGGTAGTATGGGAGGACAGCCCCATGGTAACAGGTATGGTTCCCTCCACCCCTGACTTATGTTGATTTGGGGTTATGCAGTGGCAGCTAAGGTAGAAAACCACCTCCTCCTATGCCATGTCTTCTGGGTTCCAAGGGTCTGGAAAGCGGTTCTATAGCCAGGTTGGGAAATACCTGTAGATTTGAGGGGAAGAGCCTGAGGAGGACAGGGTTTGGGGTGCGGAGGGACCTCAGCATTGGTCCATTGCCCAAAGCAGCCATTTTCTTCAGGAGAACTGATCTTGGCTGGCAATCCTAAGGGGAGGGCCAGACCTGTAGATTTTGAGTGGTAGGTTCTATAGCCAGGTTCTATAGCCAGGTTGGGAAATACCTGTAGATTTGAGGGGAAGAGCCTGGGGAGGGCAGGGTTTGGGGTGTGGAGGGACCTCAGCAGGATATAATGCCACAGAGTCCACTGCCCAAAGCAGCCATTGTAATAGCTGGGAAATTTTCTGTGGGGGAAATGATGTGCTGTGGCTGGGGAACACGGTAATTTCTGGGAGATCTCCAGGCCCCACTAGGAGATTGGCAACTCCAGTGACCATTTAAGAGAAGATTGGGCTATGTATTTTACCTCAGGACACATTCAATGACTCACAAAAGCAGCAGCAAACTGTTTAGAATGTTAGAGGCAAAGGCCAATCAGGCCGCATATGCAAATGACCTCTGTGTCCGACTGGCTATTGGGGGAAGAGGAACAGCAAACTGTTTAAATATTGGAGGCGAGACTCAGGCAATGTAGCCAGTGGATAGGGACAGCTTCTGAGTGATAGATCAGGGAGCCAACTGATTTGGGAGCGTGTGGAATGTTCAGTAGAGTGCTACTACCAAAAGAGAATTATTATATAGAGAGATTTTCGCAGTCCCTGCTAGCAGTAATCAACAATATGGAGCAGGGCTGTGTAATGTTTAATAACCCCAAGACCTAGAGAACACTGCAGCACATATTATAGAGAGAAACTCACCACATGGCTGCCTTTAACACTGGCAGATCCGCATTTCCTAGAACTTATGATCTGCCACTTAATATATGTGTTTACTTAAAACATTTCTATGCAGCCTTTCCACCCGTCTCAGGGTTCCCATATTTAAAACAATTAACAAAGAGAAACATATAAACAAGGAGAAGGGCTAATGAGAGTTAGTGAGGGAATGCCAAACAAAACAGTCTTCCACCGGCAGGAAGGAGACAATGATACAGGGTGACAGACAAATCTCCCTGTTCCGAGTATGTACAGAAGCCAGCAACCATGTTTGTGGTAACTCCCAGAAAGCTTTGCAATTAGACACTGAGAGTGCTGTGATGTTATTTGCTTGTTTGCCTGATCGGACGTTTCTTTCGGGCTGCGGAGCAGGTGGCTTTTGACCCTGGGTTTAAGGTCAACCCTAACACAATTACTTATTGTTGTTGAATAAATACGTGATCTTTGGTTGTCAAACAAAGGATGTGTCAATGTGTTAATTGTGACACCTTAGCACGAAAATGCTGTAGGAGATGGAAAAGCAATTGCAAAAGGAATTTCTCATTAAGCAGCAATGGGAAAAGAGGGTTGTTTTTTTTAAAAAAAAATCCTGGTATATGATCAACCTTCCAATCCCCCCCACCTTCTGTCTGTACATATTAATGTTCCTTTGAAATTCTCTGACCTCTCAAGACACTGTCTGGTTCTTGTGAAGGGCTGAATGATCTTTAGAAAGTTGTTGCCTCTTGATGTGTGTGTGAGAGGGAGAGACAGACAGTTCCAGAACTGTGATGCTGTTAAACTTGTAGTATTTCATACCCTCCAACATTTCACAGGGACATATACATGCACACACATTACCGTGTTTGCAACGCACGGACTGTCAAACCGACAACCATTGGTTAGAAGCCTGTGAACCCCCCAGACACCTCATTATACACCAATGAACATTCCCTTTCCAACATTAAACTGACCACGACGCTTGAAAAAAACACAACTGTTCAGTCTTAAAATGGATCTTGCTGTTATAAAGAACAGCTGCAAAGCAAATACTTCCAGCAACATTTGATCCCCGGAGAAAGAGTTATTGATGGCTGGAGGGAGACAGCGTGCGGGGACTTGTGGGTATGTGTGAGATTTATATGCATGTGCACCTGAGTCAAACTCTATCAGCCCAACTTAGGGATGCCAGCCTCCAGGTGGGACCTGGGGATCCCCTGGAATTACAGCTCATCTCCAGGCTACAAAGATCAGTCCCCCTGGAGAAAATGGCTGGTTTGGAGGGTGGACTTTATGGTATTGTACACCAAGGCCCCTATCCTCCCCAGGCTCCATTCCCAAATCTCTAGGAGTTTCCCAACCTGGATATGGCAACCCTACCTCCTCATCCCCTGCCGGTGGTCAGGGGGGACCTGGCAACCCTCCTGAGCCCGTCCTCAACCCCTCCTCTCAGTGATCTAATCTAAAGACCCAGGGGAAGGGACTGAAACTCGGACCTTCCGTATGCAAAGCAGGTGCTCCACCAGTTGTCTTAGATGGGAGTGCTCCAGGTCCCATTTCTACCCTCAAATAGCAGCTTCTCTGGTATGCCTTGCTTGTCCTCTCAACGGGCACAAGCAAACCCTTTCAGTGGAGGTGTTGCTATGTCTCATTCATTCTCAGGCTGCATACCATAGGCTTCGGGTAAGTAACAAAAATACATAATGTGCTGAAATAAACGACCAAAAATATCCTTGGCTTGT